CGGGTAAATCTACCTGCATATACTGTTAATCTTCTGACAGCAGAGTTTGCAACACTTGAACCTTCTTGAAAGTTCAGAAATTTTAAACTATGGAAGCCCCAGTCACCAGTTTTATTCCAAATATCTGGCTTTCCTATTCAACATATTATAAAAGTTAATTTCCAGTGTTTTCTGACACCCCAGTGCTGAAATGAAGTGATCTCTTTAGTGATTTGACCTCCCCAATTCTTTAGAGCAGGTATTTTTGTCCTGTACCACAGCTACGGCAGCCGCCACTGCCTAGGCCTGTGAAACTGCCCTTAAGACAGTGGTTGGACTCACGGCGGTCGGGGGGACATAAAGAAAAAATACTGATGTATGGGTGTCAACCCCAAGATTCTGATTTAACTAGGCTGGGATACAACCTGGGTATCGAAAATAAAAAAATTTTTTAAATTTCCCGTGTGATTTGATAGTAAGCTGAGGTTAAAAGTTTAACACCTGCTCAGTCTAAGGGATTGCTCCTTCCTGCCTACATCTTTTCAGCTGGAGAATCACTCAGATTTCTGAACGGAAGGGGCTGTGGTTACTTCTGAAGCTTGTGCCTCTATAGTTTTAGGAACAACACCTCCACCACGTGCCCCTCATGACCTGTGAACATTTTCTACCCCCACCTTTCTCACCCCAAAGAAGTGGGCTATGCCTCTAGTGTCTCCTTTCCCTCTGTGGGTCGCCCTAATCCTTTCAGAAAGGCTCAGCTGAGTTTTTAACAACTTAATCCGATTCTTAAATTAGTTCCTTCCCTTTACCACGTATTAGCCTGGAACTTTTGCTGAAATTTGGTGCCTTCCTTCATTTTATTTGCTCTTGGGCCAAAGGCCCAAACTTCTTATTTCTTAATTTATCCCTCTACATATTTTCCTGTGTGAAATCTCCAATGCTGATTTCTGGGTCTGTCAAAAACGGCCATTGTGCAAACTATTTTTGTCCTTCACCTCCAAGGTGAAGGAGAATCCACCCACAAGCTGCATCTGCTTGGGCTCCACCTCCCTGCCTCCCCTTTAGTAAGTTTCATCTTCCTGCGTGTCCCAATTGCCTAAATTTCTTCTGCATGTCCCCTCAGGGCACAGGGATCCCTATCTGAGAACTGTCACCTTGACGTTCACTTAATAACGTTGAAGTGTCCTATACTGATCTTTCCCTTCTCAGGTCTGTCCATGTTTGTAAGTACTTGGTATAACAGCCCCATTTTTCAAGCAACTGAATGTACAAAAGCAATTAGGGAACAATTTAAGAGAGTGTTTTCCCAACAGTTTATTGAATGTGTGCTCTTGGGAAGGGGGTGGGGGTGGGGGAACATGAATTTATTCTCTGAGCTCTTGGCTCTCTGACTCCATTACATTTCCTTGGAGCCCAGATAACGTATCTGGTATAACCAAAAAGCTTCCCCTTTTCGCACCTTCCTTTTAAAAGCTTTAGAGAATGTTCTTTGCACTTCTGTCTTCCCTATCCTCTAAGATTTAATCAGTCTGCATTCCCTGATTTTTCTTTTATTCACACTTTGCTTACATTTTGGTAGTAAGATTGAGAATATTTTCCAAACTACTCCATTTCCTCCTGAATTTTCTGAGCAAACCCTATTCCTAGGCAGACAGCACACAAGGCACAGCCCTTAGGCTTTC